GGGAGATTCTAAAGAAAAGTTGTTAAGGTTAGTGGACGATTTTGGGAGTGTGTGTAAAGGTAGAAAGTTGAAAGTGAACATAGATAAGAGTAAGGTGATGGGGTATTAAACGATTTAGATAAAGACAAATTGTATATCACATTGGAGAGAGGGAGTATGGAAGAAGTGAATGTTTTCAGATATTTGGGAGTTGACGTGTCAGCGGATGGATTTATGAAGGATGATGTTAACCATAGAATTGATGAAAGAAAAAACGTGAGTGGTGTGTTGAGGTATCAGTGGATATATATATGTGGATATATATATATATATATATATATATGTGGATATATATATATATATATATATATATATAATATTATATATATATATATATTATATATATATATATATATATATATAGGGAAGTACCACCTCTATAGCTGGACTGGGGACCCTCATCCTCAGAGAAGACAATAAACGTACCTCAGAGAAAACTCAAGGTTCTCTCCGGTATCCGCTGTTTACTTCTGCCTGAAAGTATTAAATGGGTTGCAATTTAAGGTTTCAATTTTTATATATCGTCGGATTGTATTTTTTTTAAGAGTGGATAAAACATGGTCATTTAAAGTTTCACTAAGATGTGGCAGAAAACAGCCATGCACTGGCACTGCCAGAAGTCTTCTTAGCAGCAGCAGCAGCAGTAGTTGTGGAAAAATTTTCTCCAGGAGGGGGTATCAGCCCCCTTCGGCCCCCTTCAGCCCCTTCAGCCCTTTTCAGCCCCTTTCAGCCCCTTTCAGCCTTGAGGGGCCCAGCCCTCTCAGAAGGGGCAAATATCTTGTTTGCTGCTACAGAGAGTAATTGATCGCAGATGCAGTACGAGTATGCGACGTGGTCAAGCGACCGCCGCTCCTTGCAGTCCAGTGTTGCAGAGTGTATTTTAATAAGAGACAGTTCATCTCTTACCTTAGCAGGACAATTAAGGAAAATCCTGCTCCCACTTTATTACCATGGTAAAGATAGTGGACATTGTTGTCTATGCTTAAGACAGCAAGAATCAAACATTCTGCTTTGCCTCATGGAGGAAGTGGCAAGGAAGCAAAAGTACTATGTCAGCTTTTCCTTTGTGCTGGGGGCAGTGACGGCGTGGGGCATTCTGGCGTCTTCAGATTACTTTTGACTCTACTGAGAGTGACACTGATGCCAGGATAACCAACAAAGAACACTGATCTGTGTGTTAGTGTGAACAAAGTGTCTCATAAAACACAATAAACACTTAAGAGAAGTGTGATCAGCTTCTTTAGTGATAAGATTGTGAACAATAAAGACAAATCTTGTGGAACATAGTGTACCAGTGTGCGTATTCCTAGACTATGGAAGACGTGGACATCCAAGGACACTTCAGCTTCTATCAAGTCACCGATACCTGTCGAAGGTGTGAAGAACACCATAGCTCACGCTACAAGAGCAAGGTAGGTTACGAATTTCTTGTAATACAGGGGACTGCGCAGTTCTTGAGTCGCAAGGAGTTTGTAATCAACCTATAGTCGGCAGTAAGGGGTGGACTTTTGAGTCCAAACAAGTACATAATTTGTCAGCAATCAGTGAATGAAATATGCTGACATAACACCCCCTAGGGGTAATTTATAATCTTACAAATTATAACTCATTTCAGCCAGTTGAGGAATGACTTCGACAGCTTCTCAAGACCTCGTCTGCAGGGGCGGCTGTGCAGGCGATGAGTTGTCTTTCTAAGTTAAGTTTTCCCTATACAAATTGTATAAGCTTAGCTGGTAATCCCATTCCTCAACAGTAGTAGTGGTAGTGGTAGTGGTGGGGGGTGGTGGCAGTGGGAGATGGTTACGGTGGGAGGTGGTGGCAGTTGGAGGTAGTAGTGGTGGTGGCAGAGGGAGGTAGTAGTGGTGGTGGCAGAGGGAGGTAGTAGTGGTGGTGGCAGAGGGAGGTAGTAGTGGTGTCATTGGGAGGTGGTTTTGGCAGTGGAAGGTGATGTTGGTGGTGGCAGTGGAAGGTGGTGGTGGTGGCAGTGGGAGGTGTTGGTGGTGAAGTGGGAGGTGGTGGTGGCAGTGGGAGGTGGTGGTGGTGGAGGCAGTGGGAGGTGTTGGTGGTGAAGTGGGAGGTGGTGGTGGGGTGTGGTGGAAGTGGGAGGTGGCGGTGGCAGTGGGAGGTGGTGGAGTGGCTGTGGAGGTGGGGTGGCAGTTGGAGGTGTGGTGGTGGTGGGGGTGGGCAGTGGGAGGTGGCGGTTGGCAGTGGGAGGTGGTGGTGGCGGTGGCAGTGGGAGGTAGTGGTGGCGGTGGCAGTGGGAGGTGGTGGTGGCGTGGCATGGGAGGTGTGGTGGCGTGGCAGTGTGATGTGGTGGTGGTGGAAGTGGGAGGTGGTGGTGGTGGCAGTGGGAGGTGGTGGTGGTGGTGGCGTGGGAGGTATGGTGGTGGAAGTGGATGGTGGCGGTGGCAGTGGGAGGTGTGTGGTGGCTGTGGAGGGTGTGGTGGTGGCAGTGGAGGTGGTGGTGGCGGTGGCAGTGGGAGGTGGCTGGGTGGCAGTGGGAGGTGGTGGTGGCGGTGGGCAGTGATTGGGAGTGGTGGTGGCTGGTGGAAGTGGATAGAGATGGTGGTGGTGGAAGTGGGAGGTGGTGGTGGTGGTCAGTGGGGGTGGTGGTGGCATGGTGGGTGGCAGTGGGTATTGGGTGTAGTGGTGCGATCGTGGTAAGTGGTGGTGGATGAGTGTGGTGGTCATGGTGATGGTCTGGTGGAAGTGTCGTGGTGGTGTGTCGTGGTCATGGTGATAGGTGGTGGTGGTCAGTGATGTGGTCGGTCATGGTGGGGTTGTGGTTCGGTGAGTCAGTGGTGGGTAGTGGTGGTCTGGTGGTTGTGGTGGTGGTCATGGAAGTAGTGGTCGTGGTAATGATGGGTGATAGTCACGGTGGTAGATGATAGTCGTGGTGATGGTCGTGGTGCTAGGTGTTGATCGTGGTGGGTGATGGTGGTCGTGGTAGAAAAGATTTGATTAAAATCAACATTAATGTTACAAAATGGGAGAAGGTTATGACACACAAGGCAGAGCTGAGGCGCAGTAGTGGTTGAGACAGTTCATACACGTCTGATACGGGATACGATAAGCATCCAGTGCCACCTCAGCCCACACCAACTGTTCATTCACACCCCAGTGGCCACACCCTAGCTGTACAGCCAGCAACAGCTACCCCACCCCTGCCGACAACCCCTGCCCATACCACAAGCCCCTATAAATCACCCACTGCCTTCACTCATACCTTGCCTCTAACTCAGTACTCCTCCCATCCATACTTCCCACCCATTAAATACCCCCACCATCTTAACCAACAATCTAGCTCCACACAATCTGCCCACAAAATTCCCCCCATGGCCACACACTCACACCTGTACCATTCCCCACAATCACCATTCCTTCACGGCCACATATCCTATATGACCGTACCCGCACACCTTACCTGACCTTTCACCCTAACATGCCCTCCACATACCTAATCATTTAATTACTACCCCCTGTATCCTCGTGGAACGTATCCACTGTAGATACGGGGGTCCTACTGTATGAGTAATTTTATTCAGGGATATAGAAATACAGTTACATAGATTATGATACATAGCAGCATATGTGTAGAGAACCTGGGATAATCCAAAAAAGTCAGTGACTTATTTCTATTGGGGTCCAATGTATGTCTACTTGTATATCTGTATGTGCGCTTCTGGGAGATATCCAAATACTTTTTTTTCCTCAAAGGCTTTATATCTATGTGCCCGAAGCGGGTCTCATCCTGTATGGCGTATATATAAGGAAAATATTCTGTGGATTGTTCCGCATTTATATCCTGGTTACCCACAGACTGAGGGTTGATAACTCTCGCCAGTTATTCCACAATGAAAGGACACTAATCAGTTTAATATTTTTTGTTGTTGGTTACAATAAAAATATTTTATCTTTATTAAATATTTTTCATTGGTTATGTTGAGTAATAATTAAGCAATAAAATAAGCATATTAAAATATAAATCCCACTATAAAATAAATCTAAGATAAAATGTTGAAAGTTGGAAGACGATGAAGAGACATTCTGCAGTTTCTTCAAGTTGCTCCAAGTTTTATTAAAAAAAAGTACATTTTTAATTTATACATCTTAAATTTATTGGGAATCATCCTTCTCATCAAATGCAACAGTATTAATAGTTTGAAGCCAGTCTATACATGCTAAATGGAAATCAATATCACAATTTGTTACAGATAATTTGCACATTTGGACTTATGTAGGGTAATATCAACAATAATTTTCCATTTCAAGAAAATATACGAGACCTAAAAGTTTGAAGGTGATCCCAAGAGGCATTCTCTAGTTATTGCAAGGAATCCAACTACTGCAAGTTATTTAACTCTGCCAGTATATTAGCAAAATATTTCCCATGTAATGTATCAGCCATTAACGATTTAAAGTAAACCACTCAAGCATAGTCAAGCTATTTCATGGTAAAAAAAATACCACACCTTTTTCTCTAAGTAAATTAGAAAAATGATACCCGTATATTCCAATAACAATTGCAACTCTTCTCTGAGAAGGATACAAGAAGCATGGAAAAAAAAATCCGGAAAAGGGCTACATAACTTCAGTCATGAATTGATGAGGGGACACCTGCACACGAACAATACCTGTATAAACGTTTCCCCTATTCAGCAAACTAGCTTGATAAACTTGAAACAGATGAGGCGTTCTCGAGCAATGAACTAAACTATGGTGAAAAAGTTACACGACCACTTTCAGGTATTCCTTAGGGATACCTAATAAAGTCTCACACCGCCTCTTACTTACTTCAATTAATTGATTTTAATTTACAATGCCACATTGTGAACTATATACACTGTACAGTAGCTAGAAGCATATATATGCTTACCAAGCTATAAATTTTCTATACATGATCATTTTTCAGAGGGAGTCAACATGAAGATATATATAGCTATAGTTTTTCTTCTACTCACATCAGTCATGATGAATGTTGTCTTCAGAAAATTGTGTTCAGAAGATGGTGTTCAGACGACAGTTCAGAAGAACTAGCAACTCTTCCCACGGTTCTGAGTTAAGTGACGGCAAGCACCCGAGGCATTCTTGTTATTAGTCATCCGTTCCTCCTCCCACCTACCCTTTTATCAGTCTCACAATTACTTCGTGTTTTTATTTTCTGCTTTGGTCACTCAACACTTGTTTTAAAACACCTATTTTATTTGGAAAAAAAATACGAAATTAAACAAAGAAAAAAACTTTTTCATTCTAGTGAAATAATGTGACTTTGTTACCAGAGTAAATTGTATTCTGTATTCTGAAGTATGATGGCATGTATCCATTTCGACGTGTCTTATCGATCAAGGTTCCAGGTACAGCTAGTGCGCCGTCCACCTGTATTATACAGGAAACAATCCTGTTCGGCCTCCGTTCACACAACAAGCGTAGACAAAACTAACACTGCAAACATATTAATGTAAACAGAATGTACATAATGGGGCAATTTGATTTAACCAAAGAAACTAAGTGTAACATATCTGCTGATCCCAACAAGACAAGTACATTATTCCTGATTTATACAACTTATTTGAGAATAAGATTACACAAGGTTAATCTTTCGTAGACAAGGAACCTCAAGGGGCCTTGATGAAGTTGAGGAGCTCTCTATCCCATGGACTAGATTTATACTCCTTTTCATCGCTGTTTGACCTGTATGGGTTTAGCGCTTTCTTCTGAATAAAAAATTTAAAAGGTTATATTAGGAATAATCAGTGGATGGGATGGTACTCTCAGTGTTGTAAAATTCCAGTTAATGGACAACTTTTTCTGTGGATGAGGAAGACACATGTGTAACTGTTGGGTATCTTTATTGTCGAAACATTTGGTCTACACGGAAGTTTTCTTCAGTCAAATACAGAGCATAGTGTGAAGGTAAAGGAATTGACTGAAGAAGCCTACTATGTAGACGAAACGTTTCAACAAAAACGATACCCAACTGTTGCACATGTGCCTTGCTCGTCAACTTGTCAGTATCGTACACCTTTTTCGAAAAACTTTTACTGTCTCCTGCAACGGCGAGTCCCCAGCTTGTAGATAATGCTGCAATGGCCAGTCCACAGTTCGTAGATGGTCCTGCAATGGCCAGTCCACAGCTCGTAGATGGTCCTGCTATGGTCAGACTACACTTTACTGATGGTCTTGATGAAAGTGATGGGCTCTAGATCTAATAAAGTGCAGGTACCTTTCCAGCCCTTGTGTTGAGGGTATGATGGGGTGTGTAAAGAACTGGAATAACAAGTGTCCATTGCTATGGTAGCTATGTTGATCTACCAAGTCGAGGTCCTGCCTGAAAGGAGTCTTGCCTTCTGAATCTCACGCTGAGAGATGATGGGAAATATATGAAGGGGTAAACAATATACGCACCTTCTATCAACCGTCATACGGTTATTACACTGGTATACATAAAAGGACATAAACTATAGATAGTAATGACAGCATTGCCACTTGGACCGAACGTGATCACCCCCAGTTTCTCAGGCGCTCAATAACCAGTACAGTTTTTGGGATTCCCATTGAATATAATAGTAACAGCAATACCACTATTACTACTACTACCTGCCTTCCTACCTGGGATACTGCTACTACCGTAACCAATAATAATAATAGTAATAATAATATACCCAGTTTGTAGCTATCTACAGCCAGGTCAGTTACAACACCTATCAGTAATACAGTAGCACAGTGACTGTGACAAAGCAGTGAAGTGACAGGTGCTGTGAACCGAAGATACAGTGGTTAAAAAGATACAGTGGTTACAAAGATACAGTGGTTACAGAGATACAGTGGTTACAAACTCATACTGCCGGCAGTAATGAAGACAAGACACGGGTGTGCAGAAAGATTTTATTACAATGTTTTCTTCAATGATAAAGCTGCACACAGGGCGAAACGTTTTCATGACCAAAAAAAATCCCTGCGTGTGTTTCAGAAAATTCAGTAATATAGTGTCACTATGAACCAGTGATGCAGTGTTACTAGGTACATTGTGAACCAGTGTTACTAGGTACACTGTGAACCAGTGATGCAGTGTTACTAGGTACACTGAATCAGTGTTACTAGGTACACTGTGAACCAGTGATGTAGTGTTACTAGGTACACTATGAACCAGTGATGCAGTGTTAACTAGGTACACTGAACCAGTGTTACTAGGTGCACTATGAACCAGTGTCACTAGGTACACTATGAACCAGTGATGCAGTGTTACTAGGAACACTATGAACCAGTGATGCAGTGTTACTAGGTACACTGTGAACCAGTGATGCACTGTCACTAGGTACACTGAACCAGTGTTACTAGGTACGCTATGAACCAGTGTTACTAGGTACACTATGAACCAGTGATGCAGTGTTGCTAGGTACACTATGAACCAGTGTTACTAGGTACACTATGAACCAGTGATGCAGTGTTACTAGATACACTATGAGCCAGTGATGCAGTGTTACTAGATACACTATGAGCCAGTGATGCAGTGTTACTAGGTACACTATGAACCAGTGTTACTAGGTACACTATCAACCAGTGATGCAGTGTTACTAGGTACACTGAACCAGTGTTACTAGGTGCACTATGAACCAGTGTTACTAGGTACACTGTGAACCAGTGATGCACTGTCACTAGGTATACTGAACCAGTGTTATTAGGTACACTATGAACCAGTGTTACTAGGTACACTATGAACCAGTGATGCAGTGTTACTAGGTGCACTATGAACCAGTGATACAGTGTTACTAGGTACACTATGAACCAGTGATGCAGTGTTGCTAGGTACACTATGAACCAGTGTTACTAGGTACACTATGAACCAGTGATGCAGTGTTACTAGATATACTATGAGCCAGTGATGCAGTGTTACCAGGTACACTATGAACCAGTGTTACTAGGTACACTATGAACCAGTGATGCAGTGTTACTAGGTACACTATGAACCAGTGTTACTAGGTAGTAATGAAGACAAGACACGGGTGTGCAGAAAGATTTTATTACAATGTTTTCTTCAATGATAAAGCTGCACACAGGGCGAAACGTTTTCATGACCAAAAAAAATCCCTGCGTGTGTTTCAGAAAATTCAGTAATATAGTGTCACTATGAACCAGTGATGCAGTGTTACTAGGTACATTGTGAACCAGTGTTACTAGGTACACTGTGAACCAGTGATGCAGTGTTACTAGGTACACTGAATCAGTGTTACTAGGTACACTGTGAACCAGTGATGTAGTGTTACTAGGTACACTATGAACCAGTGATGCAGTGTTAACTAGGTACACTGAACCAGTGTTACTAGGTGCACTATGAACCAGTGTCACTAGGTACACTATGAACCAGTGATGCAGTGTTACTAGGAACACTATGAACCAGTGATGCAGTGTTACTAGGTACACTGTGAACCAGTGATGCACTGTCACTAGGTACACTGAACCAGTGTTACTAGGTACGCTATGAACCAGTGTTACTAGGTACACTATGAACCAGTGTTACTAGGTACACTATGAACCAGTGATGCAGTGTTACTAGGTGCACTATGAACCAGTGATGCAGTGTTACTAGGTACACTATGAACCAGTGATGCAGTGTTGCTAGGTACACTATGAACCAGTGTTACTAGGTACACTATGAACCAGTGATGCAGTGTTACTAGATACACTATGAGCCAGTGATGCAGTGTTACTAGATACACTATGAGCCAGTGATGCAGTGTTACTAGGTACACTATGAACCAGTGTTACTAGGTACACTATCAACCAGTGATGCAGTGTTACTAGGTACACTGAACCAGTGTTACTAGGTGCACTATGAACCAGTGTTACTAGGTACACTGTGAACCAGTGATGCACTGTCACTAGGTATACTGAACCAGTGTTACTAGGTACACTATGAACCAGTGTTACTAGGTACACTATGAACCAGTGATGCAGTGTTACTAGGTGCACTATGAACCAGTGATACAGTGTTACTAGGTACACTATGACCAGTGATGCAGTGTTGCTAGGTACACTATGAACCAGTGTTACTAGGTACACTATGAACCAGTGATGCAGTGTTACTAGATATACTATGAGCCAGTGATGCAGTGTTACCAGGTACACTATGAACCAGTGTTACTAGGTACACTATGAACCAGTGATGCAGTGTTACTAGGTACACTATGAACCAGTGTTACTAGGTAGTAATGAAGACAAGACACGGGTGTGCAGAAAGATTTTATTACAATGTTTCTTCAATGATAAAGCTGCACACAGGGCGAACGTTTTCATGACCAAAAAAAATCCCTGCGTGTGTTTCAGAAAATTCAGTAATATAGTGTCACTATGAACCAGTGATGCAGTGTTACTAGGTACACTGAATCAGTGTTACTAGGTACACTGTGAACCAGTGATGTAGTGTTACTAGGTACACTATGAACCAGTGGAGCAGTGTTAACTAGGTACACTGAACCAGTGTTACTAGGTGCACTATGAACCAGTGTCACTAGGTACACTATGAACCAGTGATGCAGTGTTACTAGGAACACTATGAACCAGTGATGCAGTGTTACTAGGTACACTGTGAACCAGTGATGCACTGTCACTAGGTACACTGAACCAGTGTTACTAGGTACGCTATGAACCAGTGTTACTAGGTACACTATGAACCAGTGTTACTAGGTACACTATGAACCAGTGATGCAGTGTTACTAGGTGCACTATGAACCAGTGATGCAGTGTTACTAGGTACACTATGAACCAGTAGGGGGATTACCAACAGACCCCTGGCAGTCTTCAAGCTGGCACTGGACAAGCACCTAAAGTCAGTTCCGGATCAGCCGGGCTGTGGCTCGTATGTTGGTTTGCGTGCAGCCAGCAGCAACAGCCTGGTTGATCAGGCTTTGATCCACCAGGAGGCCTGGTCTCAGACCGGGCCGCGGGGGCGTTGACCCCCGGAACTCTCTCCAGGTAAACTCCAGGTAAACACTATGAACCAGTGTTACTAGGTACACTATGAACCAGTGTTACTAGGTACACTATGAACCAGTGTTACTAGGTACACTATGAACCAGTGATGAAGTGTTACTAGGTACATTGTGAACAGGTGTTACTAGG